GTGGATTACATATACGTGGAAAAGAGTTAACCTTTGATTTATTCCGGTTTCGCTATCCAAAAACGTTGCAAATTCCGTAAATGTAATAAAATTTTGATTATTTATTACCTTTGGCTTCCAAATAATGATTCCGTTAAAAAAATTCTAATTTTGTATTAGTTTTTATTTTGTTTTAGTTAATATGAACCAATTGTTAACAATCACGGTGCAAAAAAAAATGTTATTTGTGTTTACATACTCTCACACGAACCTCAATCGAGGGAACCTTTTATTGGATATACACATACTTTGAGTGAAACAATCATTGCAGTGTAAGGTTAGCTAAAAAATGTGGTGCACAAATATGAAATTATGCTTGTCATATACAAACCACACCAAATTGCAAATGGTGGTCCTGATACTTTTTACAAAACTTCTGGATTCCTCCTGCGTCGGTTTTTGCTTAGTCGAAATTGCTGACGTTTCGCCAATCATCCCGTTGGCTTCTTCAGAGCTTGACTGATCCAGAAGTTTTGTAAAACGCATTACAGTAGGGTGATCCTGATATTTTTATACACAACAGCGTAGCAAAAAACGCAAAGAACTTTTGTTTCATGTGAGAACAATATCACCCAAAATCTGCATACATGGTAGAGGTTCGTTGGAAATTGTCAAAGTTAGAAAAAAATTTGATTTCCGATTTTTTGAATAATAGGGTTATTCAAAATTCCCTTATATTTTAAAATATTTTTCAGGTTACCATTAACAGATAACATTCTAAATGTGCCTAAATACAATTTAAATACAATTTAAATACAATTTGGTTTTAATTTTAATTTATAAGAATTGGTATTGAGCGTTTGAGGTCTACTTAATTTTGTGATTTCTAGGATCTCTATGAAGTTAATGTGGCTCAATTTTCGTTAAGTTCTCACGGGTTACAATTATTATTAAAAGGAGTAAGATTTTAATTTGAAAATTAGTGTGTACTTAAAGTTACCAAAGGTGAAAAATTAATTAATCATGAAGATAGAGTGCGCTTTTATACTTAACGCTGACCCATTTTAATATTATGACCCTCGTACATTTTTAATGTAATTTAATGTTTTAAAAAATGAAACTAAATGAATTTTTTGCTTCAGCGTCTTTCATGAATTAAAATAACTCTATAACTAACAAATTATGATAAAAGTAAGACAAAGTTCAGTCATAGAATTTAGAATGTAGTTGAATCTTTGTTCATATTTTATTGGAGACAAATAAGAAACTTGAAAAGCACACATGTGTTAACGCGTTTTTTTAATATGTATTTTTTAAAATATACTTACATGGCTATTAAATTATAAAAATATAAAATATAAAATATAAAAATGCTACTGACGGATGGACTAATATACGCCACTAAATTTTTAGTTTAAATGCAAAATTTGAGGATTTTTCCAATACTGCAATTGCGTTTCTAGTTTAATATTAATTAATAAAAAATGCAGATTCATTGTTCATTTGGTTATATGGGTTGGGTTATTGATACGATGGAAATTGGTATCGACAAATGCGGCTTTAAAAAGCTCAAAAAAATGCATGCGCCGTAGATCATAAGCTCGTTTTTTTAAATTAACAATTACCGAAAGCTTTTCTATTTGGGAACATTGAGTGCGGCACATATTAAACGTAATTGACTCATGAAATTTTAAACAGTTATAATAAGTAACCGTTTGCACATAAAGAAGCGCAATTTGAGGTTGAAAATTTACGGTTCAGTAATAAAACACATCTGCTGTAAGAAGGGTTTTATCTCGCGAAAATTTACTGCGGCTTCACCTTTCTTGTTTGATAAGGAAATTGCCTTCAGGTGTTCGGTATAAACCATATTTTAAGGACCAGAGTTTCTTTTCGTATACAGTATTAAAATGATGTTTTTAGTGATTTTTTTAGGAAAATGTGTTTTTATTAGTTTGTGTCGGTTTCAGGTTCTTGCGTTTTGATATTGAAATTCATATTAAAGAGGGGAAAAATGGGTGAATATTAATGGCATCTTACAACAAGAAATGGAAACAAGGGGAGATCATACATCTTCGGTATAGTCCATTATCTGTTTGCTGTTTTTGAAGCAGTCCTTTTTATCTACATTTTTATTAAGAGCGTGGTATGGGAATTTCACGCCCACATTGATATTATTAAGAGAGAGAGTTTGAAAGACAGAGGTATAAAATTGTGGCTTTTCTTAAACCAAAGTATTGGCTGTCAATGTAAATTAATGACGTCACCTGTATTCTTTATTGGATTTTGCGGCGTTTTAGTGGCCAAACTTAATTTCTAAATATATTTTGCAATTCAATATGTATCAAAATTCGAAAAAAGATATGATAGGACAAAGTCTAACATGTTGTCAAACGAAAACACAACAAAAACATTTACTTAACTTGCTTAATAAGTAAAAATAATCAGCTTATTTTACCTAGGTTCAATTTTATTATTTTGTATTTTAAAACTATTATGTTACATTAAAATAACTATAATTTTGCCCATATTTCTCAACATTATACAGGGTGTCGCTTGAGCAATCCAAAATATTAAAATTAAAATTCTACATAGTCTGTTGGGATTTTGTATTTTTGAGTTAAGCTTGAGAAATTGACCTCAGAAAAATCGTTCCTGGCGGTGAACGGTACCACCAATAATCGACTTTTCAGTACCACCAGTTTTAAAATAGATTTGAAAGGGGTTAACGCGAGCACTTTTTAGACCATAGAAAACTATGATTACAATATAAAATAACAACGTTATATTCATTTGTGGGAAACGAAGAATTATAGAAATTTCTGAATACACAACTCCATTTGGCTCATAGAAGTACTCAAATAATATTTTTTATCCAAATTATAAATAAAAGAGTTTTGGTTTGAAGTTGTTTAGAAAGTTGAAAACGCCTTATATTTCATTTAGCCGATGCCGTAGGATATACTCTCTTGGATGATAATTTTCAATATAGGCGAAAATTAAAAAAAAAATCTCTATCGATCGGCGATGAAGATTTCGCCATGCCGATTTTACAATTTGAATATTTTCGATTACGCTCTAACTAGGTTACGTTATACTATTACGTTATACTACTCCTATTAAGCTGGCCTCGTTGTAATGGATCGAGCGTCTCGAATTTTCTTACCTGCGCCCGTTTCCTATTCTTTTACCACTTTTATTATTATATTATAAACTACCGAAAAATCTTAGCCTAAGAAAAACCGGATACAAAAAGGGGTAGACCGCTATTGTAATCCGAGTTTTAGAAGTCATTATGTCGTGTCTCCCCTTAAAATCCGTAATATATAGCAAACGACAAAGTTTTTACACTCTCCCTCATAACATTTCCTCCGCCGACACAATAGCTTTATAGGGCGAAATAGAATTTTGATGAAAAAAATTGTATAGACGACGAGAATGTGATGTTCTGAAGACACAGCAACGTCAGCTTCGGGTGGCACAATAGAAAATGAGCGGAGATTAACGTCTCCGTTTATGTGACGTGCGCATCCAGGGCGATACGGCAGACAAAAATTGATGAGATAATGTGATATACAAAAAGAAAAATTGGATATTGTTTTTCTCTACTGTAAAATAAATAGATGAGTTATTGAGAAAAGATCAGGAGAAGAAGGCAAAACTGAGAGCCTTGATTGTGTGGTAACTCTACTATTGATAGAGTTGATCCAGGTAGTCGTTTTATAAAAAATACTTTTTAAGTGGATTATTGATTTAGTCGATGCACAATCTTTTCACTGGATTTAAGTAATAGCTATTTATTTATTTACAGACCCAAAGGCTATCCAACAGGCGGACCAGACTATGTAATAACATGGTAGCTTATATAAAATTAGTCCCGAATAGAGAAAGAAACTTAATTTGACCAGTTCTAAAGCTAATAAACTGTATTAGAAAAAAATGACAAGATTTTGTATTCGTTTATTTTAAACAAATTCTGGTATAGGTAAAATATATCAGTATCTTCGCTGTTCAGAAAAGCACAGCTTACAACACATCCATTAACTTGAGAGTTCGAGAAGTCGCTTGAGCTGAATATTTCTATAGACTATGTTAGTCTGGTACGCACCTGACAAGGACTAGCATTGAAAGATTTTCGCAGGAAGGTGACTCAATAAAATTTTTATTTGAAGTTATTTGAATTTATAAAACTGTAATTATGATATTATCTTGCTGACAATAGCGTCTGGCTTTATTACACCAAAGATTCAGGTTTCTAAAAATATTTCTTTAGACACACCGATTTGTGGTTGTTAAAGCCTTTAATGGTGCGAAATTCATAATTCAGATTTCTTAAGCAATATTTCTTTACAATATATTTTTTATTTTTTTATTTTTTACAATATATAAATGTGAAGTAACTTTAAGTGTTGTATTGTTTAATTTTCAATCAATATTAATAAATTATTTTTTTATTATAAATAATATTTCTTGGAATATATAAATATTTAAAATAAGTCTGTGATTTTGCAGTAAATACAAAGTAAAACCATTTTTTTATACTATTTATTATGGTAACAATGGTCATCACTACGACAATAGTTGGATACGTGAGAAAACGCTTTGTTCACTGATAAAAATTTCGATTGTAAATAAATATCTGTCTCTTACCGTTCTTTTATAGAGAAGTAAAGCCCTGCTTATTATTATTATTATTATTATTATTATTATTATTATTATTATTATTATGTTGCCTCATTGACAAAAACTGAAAGATTTATTTCAAAATGTACTTAAAGGTAATATAAAAATATAAACGGGTTTAGTAGTAATTAATTTAGCAATTTCGGTTAGTAAAAAAATTAATCTATAAGGTCAATTGCATCAGCCTAAAAGTAATCAGAAACTAGTTAAATATATACCACATGTACAACTTTTGTAACTTTTTGATCAATCCAATATATTTTCTTAGTAAGTGCCCCACATGGATTAAATATGGTTTGAAAATGAACTATTCTCATATATACTATTTCTAATATTACCTTGATTTACATAATCAGTTATCTCCTTTGGTTCAATCCGATATTTTTAGATGCGTTGACAAACTCGTAATCCTTCGCAAATTAAGCGCCAGCCCTGTGGCTCATCGGTTGGCTTTATCGAATTTAAAGATCCATATATACGCATCAACACAATTTCATGAACCGAGCGGCTTTCAATTCAATATGCATAATACACGGGCAACGTCAAAAATTGCTTAGGGTTTTGGGTTGCATCGGACTAGCCCGCTTTACTCTATAAATGGTATTAAGCTTTGTAAATTGCAAATTGCGGTTGACGGGTTTAACGTCAGTTCGTTTATATTATTATATGCTGTTCTAAAGCTGCATTAATACAATATGTCGCTCGATATCCGCACGCCGATATAATAATTCAAGTTGCTAAGTGGAAATATCGCGTGCAGGTGGTAAATTTGTAATCGAACAATAGGAAATGGTAAAATATTTTACATACTTTTAATACTGTTACATTTTTAAATCTACTACAATTGTTGGCATTTGTTAATCCGGAAAGTAAAATTTAAAGAAGTTGTTGAGCGTTAAACTTAACGAAACTGAAAATTTATTTCGTGCAAATTAACAAAGTCACTAATTACATACACACTCCTATTCACTATACTTACTAGTAATAATTTATATGTTTTTAGCTTAGCGTCTCCCCCTTTGACCCAGCATCCGCTTCGAATACACACAAGCTCGGGCCAGGCTACGGGAGTTCTTGTCGAAAAAATATCCAAGTCCAATGTTTAACTTAGATCGCGATGTTTTAGTAAGGCAACCAAAATTTCAGCGAAAATTTAAACGCCTGCGTATATCTATAATCTGTACACCTTGTTTCTTTTATATGCATTTTTTAAACATCATTATTTAGTAACATTACTTTTTAATTATTATTAACTAACGATTATTATCTATCAGTCTTACTACGAAGTTGTAGTTTTCCTATAGCTAGCCCCAATGCTAAGTTTATTGCCAAACAGAATTCCGAAGCAAATTCCGTGGTAGTATTTATTGGTGTGGCTAGTTTTCTAGGCTGATCTAGTACTCACTTTTATTATACATCTATCTTTGGTTAACAAATATTGGAGCTTATATAGGGTCATACACAAGAAATGGCGGTGCCAAAATTATATTTTAATACTATTTTGCCAATATCCTGGCTCTCTAAAACTATCAAAAGTATGAAAGTGTGTTCGTTGTGTGTAAGTGTATGTGTGTTTTTTTTTGTAAAAATCCGAAGGTATAAAAAGCCATTTTTATAGCAGAATACTATAATCTATAATATACATATAATACTTTATTGTGTTATATTAATATAATTTTATATTATGAGCCTATAAATTAAAAGCATTTTGAAAATTATTTCATCTAACAAGTTTTAATTTTTTCCAAGCGATGCTAGGTAGTACTTTAAAATTAATTAAATTATAAAATAAAAAAATTGTTCGTGCTAGAAAAGATAGTGTAATTACCATGTAAATAATGCATTGAAAAATTATTTTGTACTATTAAAGGAATACATTTATAATCGTCTTTGTTGTCGAATAATTTCCACCATCCATTCCATTTCAAAGGCAGACATTTGGTACCGCAGTGCCTTAGAGTCTGTTGATATGGTCAAAATTAAAACCAAAGCAGAAATAAAATCGGGAAACAATGTTTATTAAAATATATGTTTCTTGTTTGAAAAAAATTTCTTAAAGGAATTTAACACACACTTTTTAGCTTCGAGGAAATTTAACATTAATATTTCAATTGCCCAATTCAAAACGAATTTCTAAAAAACGTCAGCCCCGAGCGCTGCGATTGAACCGGACAAAACAAAACATCGACCTAATGCAAACCCAGATAGACTTCTTTATATACTTTCTCTTATTTTCGTCTGAACACGTTGGATATAAAAAGCGGGGCGTATAACACAACTAGCGCGACCCAAACCAAAATTTATGGGCGAAAATAAAAGAAGACCTCTCGGGCAACGTCGTACCGACCCAACTTCACGCCGGAATAAATTTGTCTCCCCCGAGAATTGTCGTTTCTTCCAATCAGCCTAGCGTCGCGCGAGTGGCGGCTATTTTCAAAGTAAAATTTTTATTTTAGAAGGGAAATACACGTGTGCTGAAAAGTTTATGCTACCTTAGAATTCTATTAAACCGAAATTTAGTCAAGTCGGCACCAGCAGAGCATCGAATATAAACGAGATTGTCGTAAATTTTGTGATCATTTTAATCCTAAGTTTGGAATCAGTTTCGCCAATTTCAATAGGGATGGAACACAAACAATATGAACCAAAAGTGGACACAACGCATTTATATTATTGACTAACGTTTCGATAAAGAACAGAATAAATATTATGTGCTCAAACATGGTTTGCCCTTTTGGAGCTCATGAAAAATCCCTGTGGTTTTGAATTTTTTTGATTAAGTTGTAGAAACACAAAAAAAATCTTCTTTATTTTTAAAATTATGTTCTTAAAAATTAAAAGAACAAATAAAAATAAATCATTAAATCAATATTCTATCAAATAAAAAAACTTGACAAACTCTTGTAGTGCTTTTTGTAGCTTTAACCGCCAAATTTCTTTTCTCTTTCTTTACTCTTGATTTAAAAATTATTATTTATTTCAAGAAAAGTTTATTCAATAATGTTATTTTTAATAACTCTGCTGCCGATTTTAAGATTTTATGTAATTTATTCTTTATAGGTGGTGTAGCTATTCTTTAACTTATAATATTTTAAACAATAATGACGAAATTAAAAAATAAGACATTTTACCGCCTTTTTCTAATCAAGGGTTATTTTTATATATCTAACGGATTCCTAAAACATGTCACTAATCAATGAGTGGAACTCCTTATGATAAATAAATTGCCAATAATGCCCATTTAACGTTTCCTCTTTTTTTTGTTCTTTAATGAATAGATGGATAGTACCCAGTCCCAATATCTTCGCAAAAAAATTGATTGGCTTTTTTACATACTTACATAACGGCACTCACAGGTGCGAACAAAGAATCAAAGTGTGAACCTCACCGATATGGTACCTACAGAGGGCAGACTAGAGAGTGAGTATCCACCATCTAAGGTTTTTAACCAGAGTAAGTTCTAGAGCTAATGGCTGCTGGTCGTCGAAGGAAAATATATTACTAATAATACGTTTCGAAATACAGATATTAGGGAAATATAGTTACTATCTTGGGAGAGAAGATTACATTTTTTTTATACCGGTCCCGGATTTATATCAAATTGTGTATCTCACTAAGTAAAAAGAAGCTGTAAGTATAATATTAATTTCATCCCGAGTATCGTTAAGGAAAACAGCAGGGAAACGAAAACAAATATAATTATATTTTTCCAGTGAGAGAAAATATTGACGAATTAAATTTTGCTGCCCGGAAAGCAGCAAGAGTGGAAGACACTGTTTTGAAATACATTTTTGCTTAATTGTATCGTTTTTGCCGTGAATAAATGAAAAAGCGAAACTTTTTTTTTTAATTTTAAAACGCAATATTTTTTAATAACATCATTTTTAACAAAGGAAGATAATTAATTAAACTTGCAAATCTGTATAAACATAAAGCGGGAAACGTTTCTTTGAATAAGAGCGCAATGCGACAATAGTTGCAAAAATAATATAAGTTTGTAAAAGAAGTTAAACATTTTTAACAACGCCAGATAATGAATAGCGAGTATTATTACCACGGGCGAACAATAATAAGAAATTGCATGCAATTAATTTCCCGGCACATTTACGTTCTTCCAGCCTGCGGCCAGAAGAGGATTTCACTTATCTGTAACTGCCACTTAAGTGTAACAAAAGCAAAATCATCCTTATCAGTGCTGAATATCCCTTTCATAGAAAAAGCAATTTAAAAAACGACTCGTTTAACGCCGGTAAAACTCGACTCATCTAATCTCCGTTCCTATTTTTCCACCGACGTCTCATCATCCCTAGAAATGTTACTTTGACGTAATTTCTTTCAACGTAAGCTACTTAGAGCTGAGAGAGGGCTTTGTTGTGCTCATGGAATTTAACGAGAAGAAACCTTTTCCCATTCATAATATATCATTTCCTTTTTTATATAACAAGTGGCTATGTAATTTCGTTAAATTTATAACGCGTAGGTTTCGTGTCTAGGTACTACGAACAATATGTTTCCTCAAAGTCCGAACATTTATATTACAAAGTTGTTATCAGTTTATTGACCATTTCAATATTTATACAGAAATTATTAAATGGTATGTCCAGCTGTCAAGCTTACAAATGAACGCTGACTGATTTGTTTAAGAAATTGGTCTGCGCTATAGACATAACCCTGTAGAATGCTTCGTTATTTCTATTTAAAACTTGAGTATGCTAATCTTAAGCAAAAGATTATAAAATATTGTCCGGAATTTAGTGATTCTTGTAGACACTGATGCCGATCCTTCGACCAGTTATCTGAGCCGGTCTGAATGGTCAATTAGATTCAAGTGTTATAAAAGTACGTGTATCTGTATCTAAGAAACGAGTTGTTGGGTGCAGTGTCTTTGTGGTTCCGAAAATATAAGCCTTTGTTGAAAATGGATAAATTTATAATTGATCTGGGCAATATTACGTAGATGCATCAATAACAATGACGATTCAGTATGCAAATAAAAGAGATTTTTTAAGAGATGTCAATATATTACTGGGAAATTACTTCGATTTATTGTGGGAATATAGTTAGTAAACATTGTTATTTACGAGAAACCAGTCATGTGCATAGCTACTTTTCATAAAATTGTTATTAAAAGTCAATGACATGGTTTTTCAGTGTTTTTTTTTCTAGAAATTTACCACAAAAGATCTACTGTAATATGTTGTTAGTAGATGGATAAAGGGACTTCCAGGGACTCCTAACCTCACTTTTTGGCCACTCGGCCACGGGCCCCCCGCCCATCTTTTGCCGCCCATAGGCCACTCGCCCATAGGCCACTCGCCCATGGGCCGCTCGGCCATGGGACCACTCGCCCATAGGTCTTCTTCTTTTGTGTGTCTGGCCGTTCGGCCATTGGCCGCTCGTTCAAGGTCACTCGCCCATTGGCCGCTCGGCCTAACCAAACCGTCGTCCGTGGTACCGACCTAACCAAATTGTGGTCCGTGGTTCCAACCAAACCGTTGTCCGTGGGTGCCAACGGTTGTCAGTGGTGCCAACCGTGCTCCCGTGGGTGCCAACCGTTCGCCCGCGGGGGGCCCCCGGGCGTAGCCTCCGCTGGTGGAGGTGGGGCGTAGCCCCCGCTGGTAGAGGTGGGGCGTAGCCCCCGCTGGTAGAGTCGCCGCCCCCCCGGCCCTAACCAAACC